AACTCTTTTTGGTGTGGTTTACCTTCCCCACTCTGTGTGAACAAATGATTAACAGTTGATCTAAGGACTTAAAGACTTTTAGGGAGGAGGACTGACTTACTGAGACAAGCTTAGGTTGTGTTAATTAAAAGAGTATGTTTTTATGTTTGCCTGCAAGTTATATGGTTTATGAAGGAGCTTTTCTCTTGTATCATAATTACTAATAACATTCAATTAAAAGATAGCTACACTTCAGAAGAACTTAGGGTGACTTTATGAATTATTTATTTGGGGCCCAGTTGAAGGAGGAAGCATAATTTGGTGTTCCTGGTTTTTGGGGACTCCAACCTGGAGAGCAGGCAAACAGTGCTACCTAGAAGTCATTAGATAATAGTGTATTTCAAACGTCTCTGTCTCATAGGCATAACATTTATCATTACCCTTGGCTAGAGACATCCGTATCAGTCGTACTCTAGCGTCATGTTACTAAACTATGCTGCACCAAATCAAAGAAACATCTAGAAACAGAAGGCGCAAGGCCCTCATCAGTGACAATTTCCTCCTATGGCCCCTGTGGCCCAGGTCCACATCCTGAGCCTCAGTGACCTCTCTCCGTGGCCACTGTTAATTTCCATGGCACCTCTGTATGCAGAACATAATCCTTTTTATCACTTCTGTAAATTGTGCCGGCCTCAGGAATCCTGGTCTCTGGACCCACAAAGGGAAGGGACTGGACTATACAAGGTCTCTGAAGCTTCTTCCACTGCCCCATCTGCAAAGCCCACCTTTTGTCTGCTCTTCCCAGTGCCTCAGGAGATGGCGAGGCAGGATTGGTCTAGGGGCAGTTGGCAAGTTTCCTTTCCCAGCCCAGAGGAAGCGTTTCTTTCACATGTGAAGTGGGCAGGATAGGAAATCCCTCCAGGAGAAGAATCCTCAGGGGTCACCGAGGTTTGGGAACCCTGGAAGACAGGAAGGGCACTGTTAGGTCATGTGAGGGGAACGGTCAAGTGTGACCACGACCAAATCCCCCTGCGGTGTGAGAGAGAGAAGGCCATGCCTGTGGGTGCGAGTCAGGTGAGGGTGAGAGGTCGCTTAGTGATGCCACGTTCGTTCCAGGATGGGCTCAGGACACTGGAGAGAGGAGTGGTGGCCAACTAGATCTGACCAGGGACCAGGGCTTTTGAGAATTCACTGTGTTGCTTCACAAATATCACTGATTATTCGTTATTCCTGAAGTTTTCCTCTAGGCAGTCATAGTCATCCACAGATTGTGGAAGGTCAGAGGCGGGCAGTGGAGCCACAGACATAGCGGTAGGAGTCGCTCTCACACAAGACCTGGGATTCATGGACAGGCAGACAGCCTGCTGCTCTAGAGCTTTCTTAGCACAGCGATCAGGGCCATAAACTTCCAGTGTCATTTTCCCCCAACATCACTCTTATTTACTTAACATTTAATAAAAGAGCTAGGTAACCAATGTGGGCTACAGACTGTGCCTGGGGCAGAAAGCACACAAATGAGGGTACAGGCAGGATGTTGTGACTGGAATCCACCCAGGGAGCACCCAAGCACAGGTACAGTGATTGGCAGGAGAGGCAGAGCAGCACTGTCACCTGCCCAGGTGGAGAGCTTCTCACCAGCACTGGTGCTGTCAGGGGAACAGAGCCGTACATGCTGTGAAAGGGGCTGGAACTGTGTAAAAGTGCGAATCCTAGGTGAAGTGGTCCTGGGCTCAGAAGCTAGGTCAGTCATTCACCAGAGTTCAACTTCAGTCAAGTCCTGTCCTCTCCAGGTCTTGACTTCCTCACCTATAAATTGGAGTCATCCCAGCTTCTCATAAAGAGAAGTAAGTGAGATGAGAGGGTCAAGTCCTCCGTGCAGTGCCAGCACAGCAGCCTCCCACGAGAGGTCAGCAGCCACAGTTATCCTTGAGCGCCTTTATTCTTGTCCTGGCTCAGGATGATTGTGGCCAGAAGGTGCACTGGGAAGTCTCAGACTTCGAAGAGGCCCAGAACTCAAGGGAGCTCTCTGGTGTGTAGCTCCTCAAGAGCCCTGGGTGAGGCAGATCTTGCTGGCAAGGTGGATCTCCCCGTGTCTTGGCCTCTTGGACACACAGATTCATTTACCCCGCTGTCTTCCTTTCTGTCCATCTCTGAGCTTTTCCGCATGAGTCACACCCAGTGGGAACAGGTACAACCCACACTCCCTGCCAGCACAGGGCCCACAGTGCCCTGAGCCCTCCTCCTGTCCTGTGGGAGGACCAGGGGAATTCCAGTGTCCTTTAAACAAAACTCCGGGAAGTGGCGTTTATTTTCACAAGGAGGAAACAAGCTTTCCAGTTCCCTAGAGTTGTGCTCAGATTGCCTCAGCAACTTCCTCACCAGGCTAAAGCTTGAAGCTTTCAGGGTAGAATCCCTCACAGGGATGAGCTGCAGAGACGTGTGAGCCTCGGGGGACGTGGGATGAGAAAAACTCAGGACATGGGGACTCCCTGGGGCCAGAGCTGTCCAAGGTCAAGACCGGAAGAAGGCCCCTGGCTAGTGCTCTGATACAAGTCTTAGGCAGCAGAATAACTAATGGAGAGACCCAGATGTTCAGCGCACTCTACCTCCTTGTGTCAGGCGGTCCCGGTACTCAGAGGGCCCCTTGCCAGCCGTCCCAGGTGCCCATCCCTCTCTGGTCATGCCGGGAACCAGAAAGAGTGACCTTCAGAGCTCCATTAATATCAAGGTCACACCCAGTGCTGGACACCCGCTGTCACATGGTGGCCACTCTGTCACCTGCTGTCTCAACAACAACCAAAAAAAGAACACTTGAGTTGGGGAAACAGCTTCATTTATCTTTAGAAAGAAATGCTGTATAAATAAGTTCAGCAAGTCCCAGTGCTGGAGGAAGCCCAACTTCTTAGAGTTGGGAAGAAACTGGAAAAGGTCAAACCTACCTTGCACTGTCCCTGGGGCAAGAAAGAAGAATCACAGTCAAATCAGCTACTTTTCTTCTCTTTTAAGGAAAGAAAGAAGTCAGATCAAAAGGCCAGTTTTTAAACTGCTCCTAATTGCAAAAAAACGCATCTTTTTTCATCTTAAGATACCCCTGGCACCTTGCCTTGCAGTTAGAACCTTCCCTCCACTAGCACTTTGGGAGAGCTGCTCTGAGGCCTCTGTGAACTCAGAGTTGTTCTAATTTCAGAGCATCTTGAAGGCCGAGAGGCTAAGAGCTGCCTTGTGGAGCAGGAAAAGAGGCTTTCTTGGGAGGGTCTGAGGGGGACTCACTCTGCTTGGCCAATCTACGTATTCGAGCCCCGGGAGCCATCATTTCATCTCTGCACAGTAAAAAGGGCAAGGGAATTATGCCTATGACTGCACTAATCTGGTTCCACAGGATCCAAGGGCAAAGGACTGGATAGGTGCATTGTGGAAGTGTATGAGGGAGACGTGGCCGAACGTGGCCAGTCTCCACAGGGATGTGGGCGCTGGGCTCTGTCCTCATGTCAGAAAGAAGCTGTCTCAGAAAGAAGTGTGGGGCCTGGGTTACCATCCTCCACCCAGAGCTACCCGGGAGTGACTAAGCAATGAGTAGTTTTGCTTCTCAGCGAGGCTGTATTCACCAGAAGTGGAAGAAACAATGAAAAGAACAATGGACAAAAGCCATTTGTGTTGGTGGGGAAAAAATAAACAGATGGCAAAATAATCTCCAAATAATTAGTCTTCAAAAATTTAGGGAAGTTTTCTCACCTTTGAGACCCAGTATAGGACAGGTAGGAATTGGTCCTGCGTGGTACATGGGATGTTCCTATAGCCCAGTGCTCACACCATTTTGTTTAATCTCCTTGAAGTTGTGTGAGATGAGCAGGAGGCCTTCCTTGTTCCTCCATCTCTGCAGTGAGGAGCACATGAGTTGGCGGGGTTGAGCAACTAGCTGTGGTCACACTGCTGCTGGGCCACAGGTGAGTCCCCACCTCCAGCTCCAGACTCTGTGCACCCTTGCCTGTGTGTTTGAGAAGATTCTGTTCACATGGAGCCATAAATCATTTCCCTAACACTGATGTCAGTGCCAAAAAGTCACCTGCAGTAATAAGGGACAAGAGCCCAATTGACTGCTGCATTTCTGAGGGGGGAATAAAGCTGAAGTATCTACATTATTATTAGTCCAAGGCTCACACAAAAAGAGGGTTGTGTTCTTGAGTAGTATTTAGAAGCAGTATGGTCATTCTTACCATGCTGCATGCTCCAAGGGTTTGTTTTGTTTTTTAACTGCCTATTCATAGTTGCCTTTGGAACTAGATTTCAAACTACAGGATAAAACTCTCATGTCACTTTGTACTCAACTCTGGTTATTCCAGCAAACAAAACAAACAGTGTAACCTACTTCATATACCAGACTTGATCATATTCTCTGTAAAACCAGATTTGCTATTTAAGGGTGAAAGCTGCACACACTTCCCAAGGAGGAGTTTGTTTGTTTGTTTTTTTTAATGCTTCAGTGCGGTGGCATCATTAAAATTAGCCTATCTCCCACCAAAGTGACCCTTTTAAATGAAGTGGACACTCCCAAGATAGCATGTGGCTCGGTTTATTAGGAAGCCAACTACATCACTTTGTGATGACCCCTGACTAGGACATCCTGTCTCCAAAATGGTCCACGACTGGTTGGAAGACGAGACAGAGCCTGTAAGAGGGAAAGAGAATATCAGGAGACTCCAAGTCAGTTACCTCTGCCAACAGCAGCTGTGCAAGCCCTGGTATCATTCTTCAAAAGCAAACCCAAGGTGGCCATGGGCTCACTGAGTTCCAGACGAACCAAAAGATCTCAGTGAACACTGGAATAATATCGACCACTTGCCAAGTGTCCCCTGGCAGGAAAATGTTCCAGCGGCAGCAGCACATACATGTGGTATTTCTTCCAGTTCTGACTTCCTCAGAATGATCTGAAGTCAATGACTTTTTCCTCTTTCAGGAAGAGAAGGGGCAGGCAGGGGTGGGTGCTGTGCCCTGAAGGTCACTAACTCTGTCCTCCTCCACAGGCAGCATTGCGGCCATCACAGTGACAGTCATTGCTGTGGTGGTGCTGGTGTTTGGAGTTGCGGCGTATTTGAAGATCAGGTAAGACTCATTTTTCCAAGTTTTTTTTTTTTTTTTTTTTTTTT